TTGTTAGTTTTTTAGAAGAAGGCTTTCATTGGATCTTTTGCACATAGACTCTGTTCCCCCAAAAGAGACTGGTTTATTGAGAGCCAAGTGACATTGAACCAGAAGTCTGGATTAAGACAAGAGGTCTGACAATAGCTTGCCAAAGATGATCACATTAGCACTGTTCTATCACACAGACAGTGCAGACCCCTGGTAAGACCTCAAATGTTTGTGAAGAGACCCAGCACCTGCAGTTAACTAACACAGAGCCATGCTTATGGACACAACTTCTCCTGGTAGAGACACCAGGTCTCTGCTAATCCTCCCACTTCCACTGTGGCTTTCTGAGTCATTCCTGATGTACATGGGTGCATCTTTGGCCAACTGTTATAAAGAACACAACCGTACTGAATCTGGCCAGAGGTAACTGAATAAAACATGACTTCAGCCAGAGTCCCTCTTGGTTTTGCACTGTCAAGCAGCCAAGGCTACAGCTTGTAGTTGGATGAGGTACATAGCTGAGATAAACAACCACTGGTGACATTTTAGGCCAGCTGAGGTAATAATTGCACACTGACCTCCATTACTATCTGAGATGAGTGGAAAATATTGGCTCAATTGGCAATAAGTTTCCACGAGCTGACTTAAGATAACAGCCCATGCCCTGCTTTTTCTGTGTTTTCATTCAGTTTTGAATAGCTTTTTGCTGCAGAAAACCTTTACACCCTGTAGCACACACATTGCTCCAAGCCATCCAAGCCAGAACTTGGGTTGGGAATGCTCTGACCTTGATATAGGACAGATACAGCAGCTGTAGATTAGCATGATTTTTTTTCCATGCCAAAACTCCTTCTTCATGTGTGCTCTCAAGAGAGGAAGTCACTGATAAGCAATGTTTACATGCAGTGCAAAGCCCTTCAGTGTGAGGGCACAGCCAGTGATTGGCACCATTGTCTGATCCAGCAGGGACAAGCTCCAGAGATGTTGGGCTAAACCATTCCAAGATAATTTGGCAGGAAGGGTGCAATGTGCTCTTTGACACAGCAGAAAGCCCAGCAATGCAGGCTCCCTGTGGATACCTGCCCTAGCATCCAGCTGGGGCAAAGTGATCAACCACAGACAGTGCCCTCAACCCACCAGACAGAAGGTGGAAGAGGCTGTGGGATGAAGCTGCAGGTGGAGAGCTCAGCTCGCAAACAAGTGAGGTGCACACACAGAGGGCGAGAAGGGAAGGTCTGTTTCCCTCCCAGGAAACAGATGTGGTGTATCTTTGGAAACCAAATGAAGCCAGGGATGGCCATGCATGCCATGGTCTGATCTTCATTGACAGCCTCTTTTCTTCAAACTGGGTACCAGTCAGTTTTGCCTACACCAGCCTCCCCAGCAGTCAGGATGTCCCCTTGCCCTAAATAGCAAGCAGGGTTGACCAGAAGCAATATGCAAACTCTGTCGGTGTTCACCTGCTGCATGTATTTAGGTCTGCAAGCCAGGCCTGGCAGTGAAAGAGTAAATCTAAGGTCATTCAGATGAAGGAAGCCAGAGGGAGAAAACAGCAGCATTTATCAACAGGGCTGCAAAAAGTTACTCCAGACACTGTGAGTAGTCTGGTACAAAGAGATCCTTGAGGTGAAAGAATCAAGGCAAAGAATGACTCAAACCTGGACCAAAGGGTTGTTCAGATCCCCAGGTGGCCCTTCAGATACTAAACAGGGATGGGATTTGCCTACAGGTTTATGGATTAGATAAGAGTTTCACATGCATCCATTTCACATGCATCATTTTACATGCACATCCATTTCATGGATATGCTCAGGGATTACCTAACCATTCGCTCATACCTGGTCTGCATAAGGCATTTCTGCTACAGTGGTAGCCCAAAGCAGATTCCGTGCCTGCCTGTTCTACATTCTTTCAAGGATGGATGGGAATATTTCCTGCAGGTCTGGGCTTTCTTCTCATTTTGAAATCTCAGAAGCAGAAACGTGAGTTTCTTTGGCAAAGTTTCGCTGCTTGCCTTGCTGGAGATGGAGTAACCACAGCAAATGAATCAGGAGCAAGATGAGTAAGTACATATCTATCCGGTCAACAGCCATCTTACAAAGCTGTTGGGGGGCAAAGCAGTACCTTCTCCTGTACTGAATCAGGACATCACAACTACAAAGTGTTCCAAGTTAAACATGTCCAAAACCTGTTTGACTCATGTTTCACATTTAATTCTAGATCTCTCAAAAAGTTTACAAAAGCAAAGCTTGCCTGGACTAAACAACTGAATTGCATAAGGCACGTGGCATTAGCTCAGGCTTCTCTGGCCAGCTCTCTAAATGAAGTGTTTGGAAATAAGAGAAACACACAGATTTGGGATTGGAATGGATAAGAAATTTGGTTTCTTGTTTTATAAGAGAGTCCTGTGTAAATCTAAAGGAGCCTGCAAAGCTTCAACAAGACATGCATTAAAAGCAGCAGCAGCTCTGTCCACATATAATAGAATTATTAAAAGCAAGGCAAAAAGAGAAAGATTCAGCACACTGCTGGAGAGCTGCCCAAAAGCCCACAGTTGTGATGTAGTGTTTGGACTCAAATTGTGTTAACAGGGCAATATAAATCTGCAGAGAGTAAGACAAAGTCTAAAGAGAGCAGACCTAAGCCAAGAAGGCCCAGAAACTGGCCACAGATTCAAGTGGTAGGTAGTTCAAAAGGGAAGTATTTGAAAAGCTAATTCTATATAGTAAAAAGCTGGCTGCACTCACAGTTTCTTTTGAAGGTCACACATCCATTATGGTACCCAGGGAGCAAAATCTGAATGATCAAGAGAATGCCATAGCAAAGTGCACTATAAAGGCTTCATTTCCCTCACAGGTTCTACAATGGGCAGTTGAGTTATTGGCAGCAATGATGTTATTTCTAATGTAAATATTTCACTTTCAGCACAGCTGAACTGGGAGGGATTATAACAAGTAATGAATGAACCTCTAAATACTTCTCCAAGCCAAAAAACCCCAGTGATGGCATGCAGAGCTGAATCCTTCCAATCATCCAGCAAGAGATGGAGAGGATTTTGCATGACTCTCAGTAATTATTGCTTCCAAAACTGCCAGCGATGCCTTTTCCCACCCCTCTGTGGTCAAGGCAATTATTCTTCCAGGTTCTCACTCTTGGCCCACACCTCCATTGTCAAGTCAATGGAAGAATGACAACATCCACCAGCTGCCTGGATAACATCCAGCCTGGATTATTACAATGAGCTTGCATGAGAAACAGGATTAGAAAAGCAGAGAGGGTCTACTGATAAAGCTGCCCCATTTGTTTTGGTTCAAGATACTAAGGTTGTTCAGTAAACAGCTGGGGTACGTGGGAGACTTCCCCGCGTCCTGAACAACTCCATGGCATTAGATTAGCTTCTGCTTTATTGCAAAATGGGAGAGCTGGGGATGATAGCTAGGTCAGTTTAAGTGAAGGCTTTCTAGGTTTAGGTATTATTTTCTCCTTGGTGTATGAAGAATTATTCCTAAAGATCACCTACAACATGGTGGGGAAGAGTAGTTCTTTGTGCAGGATCTCACTCTTTAATTTACAGCATATCATAAATGTTCTCATTCCTTGTAATAACATACACCAGCATCCATATCCTCTTAAAATATGATCCAACCAGATGGGTTTCCATATTTACAAGTCTAGCAATGAAATATTGCTTATATCACATCCATTTTGGTAAAAAGCTCTCTGGAACAGCCTTCCAAAAAGACCACCCTGTGCTGCAGACACAGGATATCATACTGTGCACACTGACTTTGGCTTGATGAGTTTATGAATGGAACTGTAGAACACGACCGTTCATCCTGCAGTATGCAGAGAAGGGACACAATGACCAAGGAGGTTCCCCTGAGTGCTGTGTGGCTACCTGGCTGCTGAGTTCATACAGGATCACATCTAAAACAGGAACCGATACTGTTGTGCTTGGTGTGCATCTGTGGAAAAGGACACACTAAAACAGCTTTGAAATAGAAGGGCCACTTCAGGCACCTTGGGAAGGTGACAAATGACACAGCAGCAGACAACACAGTCTCTTATACCGCTGTCATAATATGACCATCCCCCTGGCCTATGTTTAAAACCTTTGTAGGCTCACTGATATCACACCAAGGCAGATCCTGAACTCAGGAACTTCTCTTTTCTGTCTTGATTCCCTCTTCTCATTAGGCCGCAAGCCCTTAGCTAAACAAATTCCAGGGGGCAAAATTTGGGGCATCAAATGTGAAAGAAAGAAGCAATATAAGAGAAGTCAGTTTTGAAGAAAACCAAAGGTTGTGCTTGGCTGACCAAAACCCCTGGGCTCACAGTACAGGGCATCTTGGTGAGACGGCAGAGCTATTTCCTACTGTCTTCCAAAGCAAGGTGTCATGATCAGTCCTGTGACTCATGCTGCTTTTGTTCCCACACAAAAAAGCACTTTAATGCTTGGCTTTAGCCTTGTTTTTGGACATGAGGCTGGTGAAAAACTGAAGCAGTGATTACAAACTGTTCCCTGTTCTTGGAGCAATAACGACTGCAAAAGAAAACACAACCCCGAGTGCCAAGCAAAATGGCTAAGGTTAATACTATTTGTCATTACAAGTGCAGAAAGAATACTAGCTGCCAGAAGCTCTGTACAAGGATGTGAAATCCATATTTCTTGTCCTTTTTGCTGTTTTGACAACTAGAAATAATATTTCTCAATTGCTAAATCAACCTAAAAAATTACAGCAATTCAGCCTTAAAAAGATTCACGGCCTGCAATGACCAGCACAGAGGCAGGGATCTGTGTGCAGCTCCACACACCAACTTTGACCATTCCTGTGGATCCTGAGCCAGGTCCTGACCTCATCCAGATCTATATAAATCCACAGCCGTTTCGGTGGGGCTGTGAGGATGTGAAGTCAGGATTTGGCTGGTTACATTGGCTGAGCTGCGGGCACTTGCCAAACAACTTTGTAATGGATCGTGTAAACACCAGGATTGCTCACAACAATTATGTAACCTGCACTTAATGCTGCTTCATAGAAACACTTACAAAAGGCGATGGTCTCCATGGCTCTCCCACTCCACACGTGTGCCATCACAGAGCTCCATCCCTCCTAAAGGCAGAGGGTGTTGTTCCTGAAATTACAAAGGAAAACTGAGTCCTTGCACAAAGGGCAGTGAAAAAGTTCAGCCAACCAACAAGTCCAGAGTGAAGCAGCTCTCCTGATCACACACTCTCAGTTCTCGTCCTTTACCACCTCTTCATCTTACGTCTACTTGGCCCTCCTGGTCAGCATGGAGTAGCAGCTTTTGAGAAGAGTGCTTGGCTTCAGACTCTCTAGAGTTACCTCTACTCAGCCCATGTCAGCAAGGGAGAAAACTTTACATGTAAAGCAGAGACAAACGGACTCCTTAGGCCACCCAGCACACAGGCTGGCAGGAAGTGAATGCAATGAGAATGAGGATACTCCTTGAGTGTTCTCAGCTCTCAACAACCACCTTTGTTCATCCACTCTATCGGCAAACTTCTAGCTATCTAATCATTACATACCTGCTAATTATGTTTCTTCCCTCCCTTCTACACGTCCTTATCACTATACCAGATCCTACTCCAGTCTTCTTCACCCCCAGTTTATATCCCAAAAAGTAGTGAGTGGTGACAAATAACTATAAGAAAGGCCCAAATTCAGGAAAACAAGTATTTTACTCTGAAAGCAAAGTGCCCGCAATGCTCAAAGTTTAGTCTGATCCCTCATCCGTTTGCATACTTCAAGAAACACAACCATGGTGTAATAAACTAAGAGATTTATTTCTAATATGAAACCCATATTTAGTACTGGTTTGGCAGTGGTAGGAAGGAAACCACAGGCAGCTGGCATGGATTAAGTGCTAGCTGCTTGATCAACCTGGAGTTGTCAGAACTCTCAACTTCCTTATTGCATCTCAGGCTATCCAGAGCTAAATACTAGAGAAGGATGCCTTTGGCTGTGCAGGGCTTTGCTCTTCACATCTTAGCTGTGCAGATACCAGCAAGGGATATATGTCTGCACACATAAAATTGCTATGAAAAATGAGAACTGCCTGCAGCTTCTCCAACACTGTCACTGTCAGCTCCTTGGTAACAACTTCAGATACATCAGAGGACATTTGTTAATCCTTTTAAACTCAAATATTACAAACACAGTAGCTCACTGCTACCTAAAATAGCTTCACTATTGGAAACTTCCACCGTTTCAATGTAGAGTTCTGAGTCTTTTTCCTCTGAGACTGTTTACTAACATTAAACCATCCTCTGAGGGAAACACAAAGAACTCAGGTTCATGATGCTGCCACTGAATGAATGTGGTGCTTAGCACGGTGCAAACCTTGAATTAGATAGTCCAGATTCCCAAATTCACTTCCAATAACTCACTGAAACCTTTGAGCTTTAAAACCTTTATTTGCTAGTAAAACACTGGCACCCATGTTTCCACAAAGCTAACATGCGAGGCGCTTGAACACAGGCCAGCTAAATTCATTTTGGAATTTGAAATAATATCCATGAGGATTTTTTCCCATTTGCTCAGTTCTCACTGACATGCCATCTGACTGCAAGTACACATGAGGACTCTTTAAAACGCCTTGCAATTACTCATTTATGAAGTGTGGGACAGAACAGGGAAAACTGAGATGATTGCCTTAAAAATGTCAGTGCAGGTGTGTTGACAATCTTCATTCTCGACCACGTATTCCAGGCACAGGCTTTTGCTAACCCCCACTCCATGAAGAATTGCTTCCTCAGCCTTGGAAACTCCAAGCACTCAAGAGTCAGGACACTTTATACTTCCACAAGTCCCAAGGAAATCATTCAGTTTACAGACCAACCAAACCCAGTAATCACCATACTCTTAATTCTTGCCTTTTATTTTATATGGCTCAGAGGGCTTCTATTTTTAAGCATTTTCCTGCAGCTTTGAGAACAACAAACTTTTAATTCCAAAAGCACCACAGAAGTACTAGATTCCAGGACAAAAAAAACCTCCAGAAGCAGTAAGGAGACCCAACCCTTACTGAGGTGCATCCATCACATTTCATAGCATCATCAGGACTTTGTGTGCCTTTCTCCATTGAAGTGAGGAAGCAGATTTATATGGACAAAGTCACCTCTGACAGCAGGTAGCCACAGGGTAAACACGATTAAACACAATCCATCTGAAGAGATACAGGAGGTTCCTAACAGGGCACACTTGTCATGGGAGAAACATTTCAGAGAACAGGCTTATATTTAGCAAGTAATCTTTGATTTCACAGCTCTAAATACAATTATATGCCAGACTTTTGTCAGCCAAACTCCTATTAAACCCCAGATACTAATAGCATCATATGCCAAATAGCCCTTCACACACCCTTGGGAAGCAAGTGCCACTAAACAGTTTGCCTTTCCTGGCAACATTACAAGTGATTCCCATTAGAACGGAGCTGCTTTGGGTTCATCTACTGCAGCTCAAGTCCACTGAAGGCCACTGAGGAATTGTCCATTCAGTACTAGTTTTGCACAGGAGTCTACAGAAGGACCTGGAATAGGAGGAAACTCTTCACTATGAAGGTGTTGAGTCCCTGGCACAGGGTGCCCAGAGAAGCTGTGGCTGCCCCATCCCTGGCAGTGCTCAAGGCCAGGTTGGACACAGGGGCTTGGAGCAACCTGCCCTAGTGGAAGGTGTCCCTGCCTATGGCAGGAGCTGGAACTGGATGAGCTTTAAGGTCCCTTCCAACCCAAACCAGTCTGGGATTCTATGATTCTATGACCATGAATTGAACATACAACAACAGTTACAACCTAACCCAGCCCTGGATAGGCACAGGAGGAAATAATCAGCAAACCACATCAGTCAGGGATTCAGTGCCTTTAACAGTGTCAGCCCCAGCAGGTCCTTGCACGCTCAGCCTGACTTCTATGAGTGGAGAAGGCTTCATCCTCCACCAGCTGCCAAGACAGATGTAGGTAGCCAAAAGAGTCTGTGGGCATCCGTTGTTCAGGTGTGTTTCCAACAATAAAGTCACTGCACCAATTCTCTTGCAAATACTTCAGCCTCTGGCTCACTTCCCACATGCACACCCCTCAGATGTCACTAAATTAGAAGTGAAAAATACAACTTGGAGAGCACATTTAACATAAGTAAAGAGATTAAGGAGTTTATCTGTCAACGCCAGAGGCCAGATGTTTTTAAATTAAGAGAAAAAACAGGAGATTGAGAGAGATGTTAATTATAAGCTCTTTCCTTCCCTTTAAAATGCTTTAAAATATTTGTTAAAATACATAACTTTCCTGTAGGTTTTGGAGAGGGTTTAAAAAAATACCAGTCGAGATTTCAGACTAAACTTCAGCGTCTACGCAGGCCTGAGGAGGCTCAAGTCTGCTTCTCACTGCACATACTGCCAGTTTCCTTGCACATGCAGCACTCAGAGGGGAGCTACTTCACAGCAGTTGCTGTGTATGACTTCACCAGGACCAGAGCTCAGCATCAGAAAGATACTGAATTCCACTGCTTTTCATCCTTGACCCTCAATTTCCAGCCCTAATACCGTTCTCTAGGAGCACTGAAATCGTGGATCTACAGCAGGCTCCCATGATACCAATCTAACTCCTACCAGGATGAAAATAGAATTCAATGAGAAAGTTTGAAACAAAATCTAGAAAGGGGGTGGGACTTCCTTAAAAACAAACATATCCTAACAGTAGTTAAATTCAAAGTGAGGCTTAATACAGAATTACACCCATTATAAAGAAAGGGAGCCAACCCCTTCTCTTTTACCCATCTTTCACATGGAGGACATCTATTTTAATGTTCCTAGAGGCTGCACCACGAGCTCCTGGGATCTATATGATCAGTTTGTGCTGAGTTCTTGCTGCCAGTTTCTCCAAGAGAAAATCATAGACTCACAGAATGGTTTGGGTTGGAAAGGACCTTAAGATCACCTAGTTCCAACCCCCTGCCATGGGCAGGGACACCTCACACTAAACCATGTCACCCCAGGCTCTGTCCAACCTGGACTTGAACACTGCCAGGGATGGAGCATTCACAACTTCCCTGGGCAACCCATTCCAGTGCCTCACCACCCTTACAGTGAAGAACTTCTTCCTTATATCCAAGCTAAACTTCCCCTGTTTAAGTTTTAACCCATTACCCCTTGTCCTATCACTACAGTCCCTAATGAAGAGTCCATCCCCAGCATCCTTGCAGGCCCCCTTCAGATATTGGAAGGCTGTATTTATCATATCATTCTATGATTCTGTGATCTGGGCATTAAGCCCCAAATTTGGGATGTGTAAAGAGAAGGAAAAGCTGTCTCACAATACCATTCTGCAGAGATAAAAACAATTATACAGAAGACAAAGACGTGATCCCTGACCCACATTACTTATAAACCCATGTCTAGAAAAAACTATGGATTTTCTTATAGGATTTTCAAAAGTGTTCCAGATTTCTACTTACATGAGTCAAGCCTGGCACCCAGTCAAGAGGTAGCTGGATATTTTCAAACCCTGGAGCATTGAACGCTGTTGATGATGGGGTACCTGAAAACTGCATCTGTTGCAGGGTTCATTGGGGCAACACTGCAATGAGGTTTCATAAGCAGAGTGGTTCTACTGCCTGCAGCCCTCCTAAGGGTTCATTTCATCCAAATCGGGGATCTTTATTAACTATGATCTCACCACATCTCTCTCTACCAAAGGATGAAAAATGCTCACCTGAACTGGGGACATATTTCGTCATGAATTTAATACAAATCCTGTTGCCTCTATTAGCTGCTATAGAAACACACTCCATTTTAATGTTTTGGGGGCTCGAATTGGTGCTGCCCTGTCCTAGTTTTATTGAACTCCTAAAAGTGTTTCCTAAAAATACTCTATTATTGTATCTTTAAAAATAAAAATTTTTCAAAGCTATCCAAATTCTTGGAAAACTTAACTCTATTTTTGGGTCCTTTCCTCTTCCTTTTAGCCCTCCTTCCCGGTCTTTTCCACAAACCAGGAACCTTCACCCCTCTTCTTGGCCATGCACGAGACTCTGTGGCACCAGCAGCACATACAAATGCTTAAGGTTCTCGAACAAGTGATGGGAGCTGACTATAGAGAGCCCCAAATCAGGCAATTC